GATCTTTAAACGCTTTCAAATATCGCTTCGGCCCGTCGTTCACACACTGCCCGCTGTCCACAGAGTCGGCGACCGTATCGCTGACCAAACCCGACGATATCATTAGTCCACATAATCGGCTCAATTCCTCGCCACTCCTCGACTCGATGTCCGCTATTAGTGTCGCTAATTGTGTGTCCGCTTCACAGTTACCCTGATTATAGTCATTATAAATATATTATAAATGAATGTGTTTAATTAATAACTACAATTATTTTTTTAATTACTAAATACCGCTATAACTTATAAGTTGCTAATAATTATAAGTAATTTATGAGTAATAACATAACATACCAATAATTGTGATAGTTGTTTCTCTTCATAAAGTTGATTATTAATTAACAATTGTTTAAATTCATTGAATAAAACGTCAAAATTTGATGTTTTGCTTTTTTCGTCCATTTGTCTTATTAAATGTGTAGAGCTATGACTGCATTATAACTATGTAATAATGTATAATTAGAATAAATCAGTTCACTACTGATATCATAATGTGTTATGCAAGAATTGCCATGATAAGATAATAATTTGTTATTAATAAATGTTCAGTGAAAACGAAAACTATTTGTTAAAATAAATTTTTGTGTATAAAAAAATCTGAAAAAACAAACAATGCTGTAATTGAGAGCTTGAATTTGTTATTTATTATAATAAATTGTATTTATAATTAAATCACAAAACTTATAATAATTTATAATAATTTCAAATTTGATTTAAAGTATAATTTTGATTCAAGTCATGATATATTTAATTATGAAATTTTTAAAAATTGCTCAAAGAGTGATATTTTTAGAAATTTTAGATGAACATTTATCACACAATTATCTGATAATTTAATTTATTAATTATTCAATGAATAAAGACCCGGATTAAAATAAACCTTTTTAACACTGCCTCTGATATGTGTCTCAACGGCCTGTTTCCGAGACTGACTATCACTTTCGCCACACATATCGCCGACACGTTTGGCCACTTGTATTGTCACGATATCGTTGAGATGTTCCCTATGAGCCAATTCGGCTAAACATATGGCTAAATACTGACCAAACCACGAGCCCGATAAGGTATCGCGCTTTGAGACATAACCTAGACCGTATTTTAAATTAAATATTAGCAATATTATATTACAGTCCCGGGTATAATTACTTACCCTCTATAGAAGAATAGTATACAAACATATCACTCCACGTGCTTAGTAATTGAGGTCTACCCAAACTCTTGCGTATACCAGGGTCATATTTACCTAAATTATTTGACCATTAATCATTTTAAAGCAGGACATTGTGGGCACACTTACCACCCCTACAGGCGTTAGTGAAGAACATCTTTGGCTTATCGATAAGTTGCGGACAGTTCTCGTTATTTAACATCTCGAGTATAGTATTGAGGTTAACAGTGACCCCATCGGTGCCGTAAATGCCTTCTTCTGAGCCGTGCGATAGCATTATAACTACGAGAGCGTCGTGTCCTACGAGTGCGCTGTCGGCCGCGATGTCCGCCAAACGTGTTTTCATTTGTTCCGCTTTTTGGTTGTTATAGAGTTTGACGTCAAAGAAGAGCTGCTCGAAAACAGTGGACAGTCGGCGGACGTCGGCTATAGAGCCGAACCGAAACTCCAGACTTTTATCTTCAAAAGACTCGTTATCAATGATCACACAATAGCCCCGGGGTTTGCGTGCCATGGGATACACGTCTCCGTGTTTTGTATCCTTTAGTTGTGTGGCTTTAGTGACAGTGAGCTCACCCGTGTTCACCATCATGATGGAAGACATGATATCTGCCAACCAGGTTGAACTGCACAGCGACCCTTCGTTCACACACTGACCACAATCTTCGACGACCAAACCCGACGATACCATTAGTTCACATAATCGGTTCACTTCCGATCCACTCCTCGACGCGATGTTTATTATTAGTGTCGGTAATTGTGTGTCTGGTTTGCAGTTCTCCTGATTATGATTATTATAATTACAATCGGATTATATGTTTAATTAATGGCCACAAATATTTTTTATAATTAATTACTACGATTGTAATAAATAAATTATAAATAATAATTTTAAATACCAGTAACTGTGATAGTTGTTTCTCGTCATAGAATTTATTAATAATTAACAATTGTTTAAATTTATTAAATAAAGCATTACTTTGAGTATTGGTTTTATCGTCCATTTTATTCGCATTACTTCTCATTCAATTGATTGAATGACGGCTTTATGAATGCATAATAATATCTAATTTGCAAATATATTATCATTTAAAGTTTGATTAGATTAAGCAAGTTTTATGAAGTGTATTGTATTTTATTTGTATTTTGGAAGTGTTTTTTTTATTTACAAAAACTTTAAAGTATGATAATAAGTTATTAGTAATAATTAGTAACCTATAGCCAGAATCTAACTTTGTATACTGTACCAGTAACTGTGATAGTTGTTTCTCGTCATAGAATTTATTATTAATCAACAATTGTTTAAATTTGTTAAATAAGACAATACTTTGGGCTTTGGTTTTATCATTCATTTTATTCGTATTATTTTATTTTAATTGCTTGAATGTTAGACGTTATGAATGCAAATCACAGCATTTCAAAGTGCCAAATGTGTGGCAAACGCTATAAAAAAATTGTGCACATATTCATACACTATTCACATTTATTGTGAGTAATATATAAAATATTACCAAGTTCAAAAAATAACCACGTTCAACTAAAAAAAAGCATCTCTTTATTTTGGAACGGCCTGTGCATAATTAATGGATGCATTTGTAGACTATTTATTGCACATTATTGAAATATAAATATCATAATTTGTTAACCCGATAATATTTAGTAAGTTTTATGTTTTTACTATAGCTAAACACTATATTAATATTCTATATAAAACATTTTACAACAATTTTAGTCATTTACCATTTTAAGTTTTAATTAGAATTATTTGTAAAACATAAATTGAAAAATAAACTTTTATTAAAATAAATTCTTGGGTATAATTTACCATATAGCAAATGTCTCAAAACACAAACAATGTTGTAATGAGAACTTGAATGTGTAGTTATTAAAAATTTACAATTAAATTATAAAATATTATAAAAATTATTTTTGATATCTAATTAACATGTAATATAATTTTAATTTCAAGTATCAAAACTTGTAATCAGGTATTAATATAAATTTTCTAGATACTTTTTAAATTTAATTACTTAAATTAATATAATTATTGAAATGCTATGAATCACAATCAATTTAAAATCATAATCCATCAACTATCATTATCATAAAGGCCTGGATTAAAGTACACCTTTTTAACACTGCCTCTGATAAGTGTCTCAATTGCCTGTTTGGTTGACTGGTCTTTAATTTGGGCAATCTTTTCACTGACACGTTTGGCCACATCTATAGTCATTATATCGTTGAGATGTTCCCTATGGGCCGATTCAGCCAAACAATCGGCTAACTCCTGGCCAAACCACGAGCCATTAAGTATATTACGGGTTGATATGTAACCTATAGCCAGAATATTATTGAGTCTGCGGCAAACAGAGTGAGTTAATAAGCATTTTGAACAAGGTAATAATGAGTATTACTAATACTGTACAGTAGTATATAAAGGTAATACAATTAGGGATGAAAATTTCAGTGAAATGTTCATTTGAACATTTTATTTAGGCTAAATTTTCACAAAAATGTGAAATGTTCATATGTTTTTCAACTATATACTTTTAATGTGGTGAAATATATGATAAACAAACTAATTAAGACATGTTTCATTCTAAATAATAATAAAAATTCTTTTGGTTCTCTGGATATTTCAAATTATTTAAAGATTCTTGCAAATTCTTGAATATTCTGCTATCAATTCTATGAATATTTTACTTAAAACATAAGCTCTAAATTTCGATTCTGTAAACTAATAATATACTAATGATAAATACGACATTGTGATTAGTATTTAAATAAATTATTTTTACATAATAAGAATTAATTTAGATTAAATTACAGAAATTAGTGATTTATGTAGTAAATATGTAGAATATAGATGTCGCTAATATAGAGTGATTAAACATTTAGCCTAAATGTTCATCGAGACCCCTAAACGTTCCCCAAATTTCACTACTAACATCTCTAAATACAATATTAGTAATACACATTATTGCCTTGCTCAAATGCATACTAAGTTGACTCACTCTGTTAGCCGTAGACTCAATTGTTAAGATGAGGCAGTAAATCAAAAACTAACCTCTGTTATATTCATGGGAAATGTGAATAACTACTCATATTTGCCCGGTAAAGTTTAAAAGTTATGGGTAGTTGTGATCTCACGGAGTCACTCAGGTTAGTTTGTGATTTATCATATCATATAGCATAATAAATAATAATTATTAATTAATTTACCCTGGATTGAAGAATAATACACAAACATATCACTCCAAGTGGTCAATACGGGTGCTGCAGTCGCACCTAAACTCTTGCGTATACCAGGATCAATTTTGGCTAAATTAATTAATCATGATTCATTATTTAGTAAAAACATATAAAGTTTATATTATAAACTATATAATAGTTCAAACTTAATATTACAGCCTCTGCAGGCGTTAATGAAGAACATCTTAGGCTTATCGATAAGTTGTGGACACTTCTCGTTATTAAACATCTCGAGAATATCCTTAAGGGCAACAGTAAACCCATCCGTGCCGTAAATACCTTCTTTTGAACCGTGAGATAGCATTATAACCGCCAAAGCGTTGTGTCCTTCCAGTGCTTTGTCGGCCGCGATGTCCGTCAAAAGTGTTTCCATTTGTTGAGCCGTTTTATTCCTATAGAGTTTGACGTCAAAGAAGAGTTGATGGAAGACAGAGGACAGTCGGTTGGCGTCGGCTTTGGTTCCGAGCCTACGCTTCAAGCTTTCTATATTGAATTTCTCGTTATCGATGATTACGCAATAACCCCGGGGTTTGCGTGACATGGGATATACGTTGCCGTATGCGGTGCTCTGTATGGCCGTGGCTTTGGTAACAGTCCGCGCATTTGTGTCCATTGAACTCACACAAGAGAGTACAACTTTGAGCAGTTCTAAACACCGCGACGGCCCGTCGTCTTGACTCAGGTCAATATCGCTTGAATCGTTGGTCACAGCGCCGACCAAACCCGAGTCAATCAGTAGTTTGCATAATCGGTTCGCATCGGCCGCACCCCTCGCTTTGATGTCGTGTATTAATTTCACTAATTGAGTGTCGGGTTCACAGTTATCCTGGTCATAGTTACTTTTATTAGTATACAATAGAATTGTGTTATTATTTTAATTACATGATAATTTAAATATGATAGCTATGGTTACAAAATTATTAATTATGATAAATAACTGTAAAATACCAGTAGCTGTAATAGTTGTTTCTCGTCATAGAAATGATTATTAATTAGCAATTCCTTCAATTCATTGAATAAATCAACAAATGCTTCGCTTTTTTCACCCATTTTATTGACACAAGTTATATAACAGTAAATACTGAATAACGTGTGAATTACTGAATGTTTGCACTATTTATACTTTAATCCGTTACCCAAGAAAAAGCTGATAAGTTCTAATAGAAATAATATTTATATCAATTTACAAAAGATTAAATAAGAACTACAAATTAAAACTATGATTTTATTTGTATATTTGTTTATTATCTTTGCAGATATCATAATGTTTATTAAACAAATTAAAATATACTCGATATTTTATAACGGTTTAAAAATACCCCCTTTTATGGTTACCCCGTTTGTCATACGTGACGGACACCCGAGCCGTCAATTCCTGTCACTACCTGTGAATACCAGTCCTCTCAATACATTCATTGCTTCAAATAGCCTGACATTCTTAAGAGTGTCACCCAATATATTTGTTTATCATATTCTTATGCGATTCTTATGTATTAATAGCAATACCTATGTATTGTACACTATATTTGTATACATAATCAAACTGCATATAAACCCGATCCCCGATCAGTTCAATACTGACCGCTCGGATCGTAACAGTTTAATTGAAGCATAAATAAAATATATGTTAAATACTTAAAATTATACTTAAATATATGTAAGTTCTTTAAATTATATAACAAGTATTGTTGTACAATCTATCTACGATTAAAGGAACTTATTTATCCCTCAAACATTTACCCTTGTTCGGATTCCACTTGTAAAAAGTGGTCAGACTGTACTTATCATGTTTAAACGGATTTTGTTTTGAATTTTGATTTTTCTACAATAACTTTAAAGTATTAAAATCTCAATTTATAATTAAAACTAATTGTAAAACAATTTAAAGAATACAATAAAAAGTATTTGTTATAATCATGAGTGCTTTAATTTACAGTTATACATTACGCATCACCATAGGATTTACACCATGGTGTAAATTGAAAGCATTCATGGTTATAATTATAATGAATTAAAATGTATAAACGATGTGTCAAAACAATTCTGTACTGAGAACTTACTATTTATTTAAATTTAGAAATGAATTTAAATAAAACAATACATAAAATAAATTTTAAGTTAATTTATTATATTTATATTTAAATTAGTCAATAATTCAACTATTAGTTATAATCTATTAATTAGTTTAATTATAATTTTAAATATAAAAACTTGAAATCAAATATTTATAGTCAAAAATTTTATAATACCTTTTTAGTTTCAATTAAAGATTTAAATTAATATGATTGATTATTGCTAGGAATTATCTTAATCAATCATTTAAAATAATAATTTATCAACTATCATCTTCATAAAGGCCCGGATTAAAGTACACCTTATTAACACTGCCCCTGATATGGGTCTCAATGGCCTGTTTGATTGGTCGGCCATCTATTTCGGTAATCCTATCGCTGACTCGTTTGGCCACTTCTATGGTCACTAAGTCGTTGAGATGTTCCCTATGGGCCGATTCAGCCAAACAGTTGGCCAACTCCTGGCCAAACCACGAGCCCTTAAATATATTACGCGTTGAAACATAACCTATGGTCAGAATTAAAATATTAATGTATTTTTACGTATATAATACTCATTTATTTACCCTCAACGGTTGAAAAATACACAAACATATCACTCCAAGTGCTAACTATGGGAGCAGTAGAGGGTTTGCCCATCGCAGCCAAATTCGGCCCCAAACTCTTGCGTGCACCAGGGTCGGTTTTTCCTAAATTAAGCATAAATTAATTATATGAAACATATAATTTTATAATTATAATTATGGTTACACTTACCGCCCCTACAGGCGCTCAAGAAGAACATCTTAGGCTTATCGATAAGCTGTGGACAGTTCTCGTTGTTAAACATCTCGAGTATACTCTTGAGGGGAACAGTGACCCCATCCGTGCCATATATACCTTCGGTCGCGCCGTGAGATAGGATTATAACCGCCAGAGCGTCGTGTCCTACGAGTGCGCTGTCGGCCGCGATGTCCGCCAAAAGTGCTTTCATTTGTTCAACCGTTTTATTCCTATGGATTTTGACGGCAAAGAATAGCTGTTTAAAGACAGAGGACAGTCGGTTGGCATCAGCTGTGGTGCCGGTCCTGCGCCGCAACTGGATGTGTGCCAACGGAACCAATTCGCAGGATATCTCCGGCGGATGTGTGCATTGGATCTCATCCGTGAAGAACTCGTTATCGATGATCACGCAATAACCCCGAGGTTTTTTGCTCATGGGATATACGTTGTTGTATTCGGTGCTCTGTATGGCAGTGGCTTTCCTAACGGTCAATACATTGGTCTCCGTCTCTAACGATTTGATGTTAACTAATAACTCGTCAAAAGCTGTGGAAAGTCTCGTCAGATTGTGGTCACTATCGCCAGAATCGGTGCCCGTTTCGCTGATCAGACCCGACGACACCATTAGACCACATAATCGCTTCAATTCCGTCCCATCTCTCGACTCGATGTCCGCTATTACTGTCTTTACTCGAGTGTCCGGATGGCAGTTATCCTGGTTATAGTTACCCACATTATTTGATGTGACATTAAAATACAATATAATTGTATTTCACCATGATATTGTTTTAAGTAAACATAATAGTTAGTTATAATAAATACTGTAAAATACCAGTAGTTGTGATAGTTGTATCTCGTCATAGAATTTATAATTAATTAACAATTGTTTAAATTCATTAAATATCGCAACAAATGTGTCCGTTTTTTCGTCCATTTTATTATAATTACTTGTTTTTAATTTTTCATTGAATGTCAGAAGTTATCAATTCATAATACTATGTAATAATGTTTTTAAAAATGTGAATCAGTTCACTATTTATATGACAATGTGTTAGTGTTGCAGAAGAAATAGCTTGATAAGATAACAGATTAATTAAGTTGTATGCCGTTATTCTGTATTACATGTACTAATATTTGTCTGTGAAATATGCAACAAATTCCGGTTACCTTTTATGATTATAATTTTATACAAATCGGATATAATTATAAATTAATTGTTATTACATATAAATAAAGAAATAGAGAGAGAGAGAGAGAGAGAGAGAGAGAGAGAGATCTTGGTATTATACTGACGAATATAATGAAAAAGTGAATATAATGAAAAAGTGAATATAATGAAAAAGTGTTCACTAATTGATAAACAAGACGCATTCAAATATAAACTCATTGTTAGGGATATTATGCATAAACTCAATAATGTCTTAATTTGACTTGTAAAAATTATGATCAAGTTCATGTTAAATGCCATTGAGTAGGGGCCGGGAGAAGGTAGGGGGTGGTCGAACGATTATATTATATAAACCACATTATTCATATTGGAATTGTGGCTAAAATTAATTATAAATCTATGGATCATGATCTAATACATAAGACATGGTATTCAAATTACCTCCATCCCTATACATCTACAAGAATCTACTTCACTAAAAGCACTGTAAACCTGTTTACCTGTGCATTACATAGTCATTATGCAATGTGTAGTAAATCACATGCAGACATGTGTTAGACATCGAACTGAACCATATAATAGGCAATGATCGTTGGCCGCGATCACAAAATTATAGCGTTTATTATACGCTATACAGTATACAGTACACTCACTAACTGTATTTATCAAACCCCTCCCCACCTAAACCTAACGTCATATGCCATCCAATGGTCGCTCACACTATGATTACACATATGAATAGGCAGTGATGTGTTGTGCAGTGTTTGCAGAGATCGTCGCATAGAGTGAGCGAACAGTAAATATCAGTTTCATAGAGTGGTTGAGTCAGACATTTGTTGTTAGTTTATGATTGACTGCAATATATTCTAAATTAGTTAATAGTTCTAATCAGCGATCAAAGCAGTAGTGGACACATGTATTCAGCGGCAGAGAACGGACAGTACGGCGCCGACACCTACGAGGGCGAGGGCTTTGGCTCCAGTTTCGGCACTAAAGCCATACGTCTGGGTAAACATTTTGATTGTGTCATCACAATTACCTTATCGCTAGATTTATAACTTTCCATATTTGTAAATGACCTTGGTCAATTCATTTAATTCGGTGACCAGTGTTAACCACGATCTCTATTAACCCATAATACTGACCCTCCACTAACTGACACCCCCTTTATTACCACCTTTTATACCCCGTTAATGAGCTATACTGTACAATGGGTTTGATTATAAGCCGGGTAACACTTGTGGGTTAATTGTGTGCACACATACCATACGTTAATATTAATTGTTTTAATTAATTAATTTTATTTTAATTATAACAGCGTTTATACGCAAAGTCTATGGCATACTATCCGTGCAATTGTTGGTGTCGTTTGGTTTCATCTGTGTCTTCGCCATACCGTTAGTATCTTTATTAAGAACTCCTTTATAGTGAACAACTAGTTTATTGGTTAATAATGGCTACATTTATTGTCATTTATTGTTTTATATGAGGGTACAATTAGCAATATTAAACACGTATTGTACTGTTAGAACAAAACAAATATTTTTTAGATTATTCATTCAAAAACAACACGAATTACACTAAAAATCCACATTCATTATTGATTTTCAATTTTTATACACTATACACAACTACACTGGCAGTACACATACATTGTATGCCCCATAAAATACATGTATTATATTTGGTTCGTTAGTGAACTTATTTTACATTAATGCTAATTTACAGCCGATGTGATTGAAACAAATCATGATAATTATGTTTAGTTTTTAATAACAATAATTTCTTAATAATGTCACTTATATTTAATGTAAATCACAAACATCTATTTGAATTTTACCATAATTTATTATTAATACATTTTACATTTTGAATATTCAGGGATGGTATGAGAAAATGGTCGCAAGAGAATATCTGGGTTCTTTGGCTCGCATTGTACGTACATTACAAGCAATTATCAATTGCAGTGAACACTCGCTATAGTGTACACCGAATTACCTGTCAAAACGTATAATTAGTTTTTATACATTTAATTGGCAAAAATATTCTGTGCCCACAATTTACAACATATACAGAATATTCTGTGAATATAGCGCAAAGTGTGTGGCACTTATGGGGGTTGTTGTACACTATTGATCGGCAATCTTTTTTAGCATATCACATATACAGATTCACAGTGTGCCATAAATAGGTGGCGCAACGGTAGATTAAAAAAATATAGGTTTATCAGTTTGAACAAGAAACACCACGTGAAGGTCAACCTAGTAGTTTCTCATTCATTTTTATAGTGGTTGGCTTTCAGTCTATCCACAAAACGTCATTTAAAACAAAAGTTATTAAATAGACAATTTAATGAGATTTCTGATATTGTTTGCGGTTATCAACAATTTTATTAATATTTGACTCAATCGTATTTGATGACCATATTTTCAAACGTGATCTTAATGTTTTTGCGCAAATACTACTAGTTTTGTCATTTTTAAGCAATTTCATTAGAGAAAAAAATTGTTCACAATTAAAAGTAAAACCAAAATATGTCAAAATTGTTAATTCATTATTGATTAATAATGGGAATTCGTTAATATTAAGTTGAAAGTTACAAACTTTATGTGAACTTTACAAAATTACAAACAAAATTTACAAAATTTGTTAACACGTTGTGCCTCTTATATTAAATATAATTATATTTAATTATAATATAAAATGTCTGTTAATTGTCAATTTAATAAATTCATTATGGATATATTTATGTTGGATATTTTAGTTGAACATGTGGTTACACTAAGTATAGCCGCTATACTAGATTGCTTATCAATATTGTACACTATAGTGTAGATTAAATAGACTGTTGCAATACCTTAATGCATATACTAATGATTGTGTGTTGGGTCCAGTGGTGTGGCGATGGCCACGATGTTAGTGTTGGCCTGTTGTGGGGAAATGCGTCGGCAAACGCCGCACAACTACATAGCGCTCATGATATTCACGATCGCCGAGTCGTTCCTATTGGGCATAATCTCGTCGCTATACAAGTATGAGATCGTGTTGTCTGCGGTGGCCATCACTGCCGTCGTGTGTCTGGCGCTGACGGTCTTCGCCTTTCAGACCAAAATCGATTTCACAGTATTCAACGGTCTATTATTCGTCGGCGTTATTATCCTAATGCTATTCGGCTTTGTGTTGATGTTCTGGCGCTCGTCAGTCGCCCAACTCGTCTACTCAGCGCTCGGAGCCCTCCTTTTCTCAGCGGTTAGTATTTTATTCATAGGCTATCACCGCTGGCCAACACTCATACGGCCAGTGGTTTGTATTGTCTATAATATTACGATTGATTATTATTTAAATTATGCTATTTTTAAGTGTTTCCATAAACGGTATATCCCTTTCCCCATACCTTTCATGAATGCCTTTCCATAGTATCGTATAATACTATTTGTTGTAAACAATTTTTAATTATGATTACGTTTGATCTTGTGGTGTCTTGGTCTTATTTATAAATTATAATTATAGTTTTAATTTAGTATTTAGTAACTTAGTTAAGGTATGATTTTTATCATTTAATTGATTGAATTTTACATTTTATTCCCCAACCAATTGTGGTGTTTGTGTTGTTTGGCTTTATATGACCACCGGTTGGGTAACACACATACCTATGCTATTGATGTGACGCACACATGCAGTACCTGGTGGTGGACACCCAGATGTTGATCGGCGGCACTCATAGCATACAGATCTCGCAGGAAGAGTACATATTCGCAGCCCTAACCCTTTACATCGATATCGTTCAGCTCTTTA